ATATCATCAAAATGAGTACAGAAATCTTTATGATCGCCTGGATAATCAGGATGAGGAACCGATGCTAGCAGCAGTGTTACTCCTTTGTCACATTAATATCCATTAAGCCGGCTGACAGTTCTGTGCATCGTTCAAGTTTAGTGGGGGTAAAACATGGTAAGGTGTTTTCCAGGCATATAGCTGGATGCAGGGGTTTTTTTTGCCCATCTGTGCCTGGTCCGTTGCCAATTGTTGTAGAGGGAGGAGTGGAAATTTGCTCAATTTGTTTTCTTTAAGGCATTTTTCCTATCTGTAAACTATTGATTTACAGGTAGGAAAAACGCCTTAAAGAAAGCAGTGCGGGAAGGGAGAAACTTACGCGGGTTGTATAAAATCAGCGGCAAGCTCCAGCTCGTTGTCATATCCAAAACGCCTCAGTGCTTTCCATAATGTTTCATGCCGGCCACGATGAATGAAAAGCTTGTGGAGGTAGATGAAGCCTGAATGAACCTTTTTTTTTGTTTGCACAATCGCTCTACTTCAAATATGCAGAAGTGGGAAAAACCTTGAAGCATACCTGATAGTGTGATGCCATCATTGATAACACCGCCCCTCATACTTGCTTGCAAAATCTCCTTCAGCTCCTTAAAAAGAAAAAAAAGAAAACATCGCCGTAGGAATCCAAAGCTTTTTTGCTTGAAAGCAGCTTTATGTGCTTTTTGGTTCCCTGAATTGCCATCTCAAGACAGTCACTACAGAATGCTGAATCTTCAAATGCACCAAAACTCTGTCGCCATCGAACATAAAGGAGGAAGTGATTTTTACACGATGACACATAAAATCTATCTTCGTACTAATAATCATGCAAGAATTGATGATAAGGAAACCGTACAGAAATAGCAATAGCGGTAAGAGGCACTCCAAAAATGAGCAGCTGAAACTGGTTCAATTCAGTGTTGTTCAGAAGCCCGTCATTATCAAAGTCGCATAACTGAAAAAAGGAAAAAAATAAAGTAAGCAATATGAAAACACGTTCACTCATTTTGCAAAAAAATACCAATGTTAAGAGGGCTAGCATATTTTCGCAAAAATGAATGAACATGGGGAAAATTGCTGGTTCGAGAACTAAAAAAGCTTGGGAAGCTGAAATTTTAAGAGGATTTTTGGAAGCCATAGCGCAAAGCTCCTGGTTTCGACTGAGGCCGCGTGTATGGGATAAACAGCTGCTCATCAAGCTTCTACAGCGAAAAGGGCTCCTCCGGTTCGCAAAACCCGCCAGTTAGTTTCTTTTACCTTCTCGGCTCCATTTTTGCCCCTTTCTAGTAGGAAATTTCTTTTTTTCTACTCACTGAAGTACCATGAAACGGAAGTACCACTATAGTAAGAGGTTCCACAAACTGTAGCCCGAAGAACAAGTGTAGTTTCGGAAAAGTAAGCGCCGCTTGTGATGGATGCAATTCGAAAACAACAGTGGAAAGATGGTACTGACGACGCAGAATTAAACACATACAGGGCGGAAGAGGAGGAAGAACGAATGAACTGGGTAGCTGAAGCTTTGGAAGGGGAGGGTTCCACTTGAAATTTGACTGTTTATGCCATAAAAGGTTAGCACAAAGTTTCGGAGGATCCACACCTCATGTGCAGTCGGCTGTCAGGATGGGGTTATTACCTCAGACCGCAAGCGAATTATATGTTAGACAAACGTGTAATGTCGAATTCGCATAAAAATTCAAGATAAACGATCTAGCCTAGTTAGCAAAATTGAAGGAGAGATGGGAATCAACCAAAAACACAAGAAAAGACTCTTTTATGTCCTTTCTTGCAACTTTAAGATAGAAAACAACAGGCTGAGGCAAGCATTGGACCAGTAAAAATGAGGATTACCTTGAAAATTCGTACCAAAGCCTTTTTACATTTTCTGCTCAATTCGCGATCTTCTGATATGTAAAGCTGATGAGTGGGATAAATCACCGCCATTTGAGCATAATAAAATATTTCGCTAATATTTTTCATCGTTTTCGCTGAGCACTCCACACATGTTTCTATTTCCTCATATTCACTCATTATTGAGGAAACCTGCCAACAAATAACTTCATTATTGTTGCGAAAAAGCGGATGGGTGTCAATTTACAAGAAACTTGTCCTGCTACGATGCGTCTAGATTTTCAAAACTTCGAAAAATAACTCGAAAAATGGATTGAATTCGCTGCTATGTGTCATTTCTTCTGCATATCATAGTTTCGGATCCACGCAACTCGTCGTTTTTTGGAGTTGCTTACTTGTAAATAACGACTAGGCGCTCAGGTTTTGGTTAGGTAGTGCCAAATGCGATGGGATACAAATTCTGGGGGGGGGGGGGGGGGGGGGGGGGGGGGGGGGGGGGG